AAAAAAAAAAAAAAAGTGACCAAAAAGGGTCGCACAAAAAAGAGCAAAGCAAAATAAGTCAGGTGAAACATGTGTTTTTAGGATATGTGTGGGGGAAGATCCAGTTTGTTTGAGCAACCGGTTGAGCTTGCATTCGTGGGTTAGGAGTTTGAGTTGAATTCGAGCCACTTAGCCTAAAATTATCCTACCTGTCCAAAGAGCCTATGTTACAACCCTGAAAGACCTTTTGATTTACTGGTTTCGATTTTGATTGGTTTAGAGTAGAAGATAGACGATGCGCAAGCCTATGATTGAACTTGTTATCGACCAATTTGAGTGCACCTATATCTTTATCTGTATAAGGAAGTTAGTGAAGAACACATATACATACCCATATTTGAGAGGACGTCATATTGAAGTTTAGCGATCAAGCATGTAGTCGTATTATGTTCGCATGCGCCATTTGAATGCTCATTGTTGAAGTTAAACGTGTTGAGACTTATCTTGTTATCGATTGATGTCCAGGCTCAAGTTTGTGTCTTTTCTTTTCTTTTCTTTTCTTTTATTTTCTTTTCTTTCCTTTTTGTTCGGGACGAACAAAGGTTTTAGTGTGGGGGAGTTGTTCGTTCTATTTTTGTCCTGTTTTCCATGTTTATTTTATATTTATTTTTTCCCATTCTAGGTTATTTTCTTTGGTTCTTGGTCCATTTTGTGTCTTATCGTGAGTTTTCTTTATTTTGCTTGTTTTTGGTTTCTTGTTCCTTTTTCCCCTTTTTCTGCGTTTTTCTTGTCGGTGGTGATGTGAAGGTTAGGTGGTTGTGTCAATTATGAGTTTCTTGCGGGCATTTCTATCTAAGAGGTTGAGGCCGGGTCGAGTAGAAAAAGTCGAAATCCAATTCTGAGTCTGGATGCGTGGATACGAGCCCGGAAATCACAGCTATGTCACAGAAATTCCTCACCGCGGGAGAGGTCGCGACCGCGGTGAGCAAAAAAAGGTCCAGCACCCAGTTTTCTTCTCCGCGGCCACGGAGGAAGAGGTCGCGGCCGTGGTGCACTTCTTCACCGCGGCCCGCGAGCTTCTCCGCGGCCGCGGAGAGCACGTTTTTCAGAATTTTAAGTAGCAGTTTTTAAAAAAGGAGGGATCATTATGTTTTTACGTAGGTTTTGAATGTTCTTCGTATTTTCACTCAAAAACTAATACTTTCACTTAGTTTATTTTGGTATTCAATCTTGGAGAGAAAAACTCCGAGATTCGACTTTTGGATTCGGCTTGTTCTTGATTTCGACATTGGATACATTAATTGTAAGCTTTTATTTTGTTTTCTTTATGATTGAGATGGCTATGATTATGGTGTATGTTGATGTTGAATGCATTATGAGTAGCTAAATTCATTAGCTAGGGGTAGGGGATTGTCATTTCGGTTCAATTTCATTTATTTGCATGATAATTGCTCAATCTCCTTGAGTTGTGCTTAACCTAGAGTTTTAGATGCTTGAGCACCATCTTGATCTAATTAATCGATCTTAGAACCGGAAGGGAAGAGATCGTTCGAAATAGGCTCGTTGAGAATAGGCTTGTTCGTTATAGTATTGCTTATGAGTTAATTGTTTCAAGAATTACTCGTTCACGTCTATCCTCTTGTTACAAAGAGTTATTGAGGATAGACCTCCAGATGAGTAGTTCGTCGAGTCATTTAACCGAGCTCTTGATTGCTCGTTAAAGGTATTGAGAACCGGAAGCGATTGTCTCCGATACCCTAGCCCCTTTATTCACTATTTGAATTCGTGTTTTGAGTTTTGAGTTGAGAATTTCTAGTCTTGTTTTTACAATTCGTAGTCGATAAAGCAATCCAAATCATTCTGGTTAGAGTGTTAGGATTATTTTCTCTTAATTGTGATTGAATATTCGCGCAATTTAATCCGGTCAACCTTCCTCGTGATACGACTCATTGTTCGAATCTTTCGATTCTACTCCGGTAAAAATATTTACAACAACTGTCATCTCAATGATAACAAGGAGTGTAAAATTACTTTCTTATTTATTTTTTAAAATGAGGTTTTTCACCTGTATAATTTGTCTGCCTTATATTATAATAAGTTTTCTAATTCATATGTAATAAGTTAATATATGAATTTTTGATTTTATGGTATATAGTTCTATTAATTTTTAATTAGTATTAATAGATGATTTTTATAATAAAAAATTAATTTTTTTTTTAATATTTTATGTATTCAATATGAATATCAAATCGAAAATTGTCAAAATCTGATTAATTTGCTATATTATATACGAAAATTTTATAACAAATACAAAGTTATTAACTTTTAAATATATTAATAACTGAAGTTAGTCAAGTGTTTTATAATTATAAAACTACGAATAGAATGCAAATTTCTATGAGCTACAAAATGAGAATAAAAATTTCATAAGTAAATTTTAAAAAAAATACATAAATGGAAGTTTTATTTGTGTTTTAAATCATTACTAGTACAATATCCGTATACTATACGTGCGTTGAGTTAAAAAATATATGATAAAAATTATTGCTTAACTAAAAATCTTATTTAAAAATTGTTGTGGACTAATTAATGAAAAAAACAGGAATAGACAGTGCATAAAGTAATTTGTAAATCGTAATTTAGGAAAGAAATATGGGAGAAAATTATAAGATGTAAGATTGCTAGTTGCCCAAACTAAGAAGGAAATTTGTACTCAGAGAAAAAAAAAACTAACAAAAATAAATGTACACTTACCAAGTTTGAAATAAGTTATTTATGTCTATGTCAAGTCTAATTCCAGAAAAAAAATAAATATATAAACAACATTTCGAAGCATAGATTTCTTTCATGTCGGCATCCGAAGCATGTGAGTCTGCCACCTAGGCTCAACACGTTTTGAATTAATATATAGGGAGGAATTTATAAAATTAAATTATTATTTAAATTTAATATGACACTCATAATATTATAAATATTTTTAGGTCATATTATATAAAAAAATTAAATCATATTATATAATGAATTTAATACATAGATTTACTTAATTAATAAATATTTTTCTTATTTTTAATTAATATTGGTATATAATTTATTTGTTATTATAAAGGTAAATAAAGATATTCATTTATACATTAAAATGGGTGTCTAATAAAAGCTCGATATGAAACGATTAATTTGATATATCATATATGAAAGTTTGGTAATTTAATATGAAGATTGTTAACTTTTATAATTTATTTGTAGTTTATGTTGATCATGTGTTTTATAAATTTAAAAGTCTTAATAGATAGGGATAGAACTACTTGTACTACTCCAAACCAAACACATCCTATTACCAAGCACCCAAATACAAAACAAAGACATCCGATTACGAAGCACCGAAATATTTTAGCGACTAGATCTAAATTATTTTGAGAAAATATTAAGTGGAAAAATTGAGTTATAGAGATAAAGAATAAATTATTTGTGAATTGTAAATGAATATGATATAAAACATAATGAACAAATTTGATATGATAAAAAGTAGTAAAATAATAAATATAAATGATTGAAGTTTGTTGTCGTACGATTCTTGACAACGATATAACAAGAGATTTAGGTGATAATTGTTAGCGGTTTGAACGTAAAGCATGTAAGAACAACTCAACAATGGTCCCAGTCCGAGGTGGACCGAGGTGAAAAGCCTTTATGGGC